GTCTCCTTCTGGGCATGCCTTGATGATCCTGCCAATCAAGCAATTCAAACTGCTCTTCCTCTGGACGTGGGGAGCGTCTGCGAGCTTCCTCCTCTCGGGCAAGCTGGACACATCCTCTGCTTCTTCCGCCCTGGAAGTCTGGCAAGCTCTCCACGTCTGAACACTGGGACTCGCGAACGCACCACCCTAGCAAGTTCAGGGTGTGGTTCCAAACGTTCCCCTGTCCGGTCCACAGTAACAAGGGTGTCTTCATCTTTATGATGCAAAAGCGGCATGTCTCTGCCTTCAGCCATGCTTGTACAAAAGGAGCCTAACTGCTCTCAAAAATAACAAAACTCACACACAGCCTTAGTCTCCACAAGTTTGCACAATTTCAAAGGTTTGAGTTTTAAGCAACAAGAGTTTCAAGTTCGCATCACGCCAGCGCCACCATGTAGCGACCAGGGGTCCTCTCCAGAACCCAAGGCTGCTATTGCAAGGGACACAAAGCACAGAAATTCACTAAAAGGTAACTGCCACCACGTTACTATTGGGGTTCTCCCTTAGCCCTGGCGCAAAGTAACGGAAATCTCCAGGCTAAACACAGAACACCATTCACAAGAACAAGGTATGCTGTCTCCACACCACAGCTTGCACAGAACACAAACACAGTTGGTAGTTAGCCAGACCAAGCAGTCTGAGACACAGGATTAAGGCTTTGAAAACTCTTGAGGCTCAGTAACTCAGGCAAGGTAAAAATATAGTTTCTTTATTTAAATAAATTGTGCAAAGTTAATAAAACACGAGACAAAGGTAGTGCAGGACAAAATAACAAATCTAAGCATAACCAGCCTAGCTATACTTACAAGCAGCAAGCAAACAAGTCCAAGTTTCAAAGAGGCAAATAGTCCATAGACCCAAAGCATTCACTCAGCATCTTCCCTCCAGCTGGTGAATCCAAGTATTCAAGGCATTATGGAGGGTTGCTTGGAGTATTGACCAGACGAGCCAAAATACCCCAAGAATCCACACAGGTTACTGAAAACACAGAGTCTTATAGCAGAGGGGGGTCACGAGGGGCTCCGGCCGGGTAGCCACTCACAAACCCACCAAAATGATGTCACAGCTACTGGTAACCAGGGTAACCAAGGATATCCCATAATACTTGTTGTTCAGTTCTGGGGAATCGAAAGTTATTTCTAGAAGATAACCCGACTCCCTCCTCCCATCACAGGTGCAAACAGTTGGAATGCTGCTAATGAATTAATGACCACCAAGGCCACACTGCTAAGGGTTTGCAGCTGGTACTGCCATGGGAGTGAAAGTCATAATTCTCCCGTTATCAGGGTCATACAGGTCTTAAAGGAAACTAAGAGGCACCAAGCGACTAGCAGGCGCCTCTGAGACCTTAAAATTTACTGCAGCATAGTTAGATAGGACATTCCAGGCCTTCACAGACCCAGAATCCTCTTTGACAAAGTTTGGTCAAGTGAACTGCAAGCAGACAAAAGAAATGGGGGCTATTTTGCATGACATCCATTCATGCGCCTGAATTTCTTCTTCATCTGAGCCTTACAGTCCTCAAGGCCACAATTTTTTCTAAATGTATATACAGCCTTAAGCCTCCTTTATGCCTTGCGTTTTGTAGGTTTGTATATGTATATAATTAATACAAAGTGTGAATAAGAAAAATAATGAGAAATACAGCTTTCAGGGAGGTGCATTCAAAAGTGCCAGGCGGATTCCAAAAACATCAATTTACTCAAACGGAGAGTGAACAACGAACGTCAATCTTCCTTCATTGGTTCCTTTAAAAGTCCGAATGGCTCCATATGCTTTTCATCTAAAGACATTGCTAACTCTTTTGAAGATTTTTATAATGCTCTCTATCAGTCTAACAACCCTAAGATTTCAGAGATCAAATCTTTCTTAGCCTCCTCAGCTTTTTCTCATCAGCTATCGGAAGCTCATGTTGCTACCATGGAAAAACTGATATCGTTATAAGAAATTATGGATACTTTTAAAAGCCTGAAGTCTAACAAAACTACAAGTCCAGATGGCATTCCATCTGAATTCTACAAAGATTTCCATTTTGTACTGGCAGAACATCTTCTAGTTACTTGTAACAATGTCCTACAGACAGGGAAAATACTTCCATCGTGGACAGATTCTGCCATCGTAGTGATTCCGAAATACAACAGACCCTGCTTCTTATTGGTCAATAGCCTTAGTCAATCATGCCACAAAAATATTCACGTCCATCTTAGCCAATAGGCTTAAATCCTTTATAGCAACTTATATCAAAGATGATCGAATGGGGTTTATCCTAAAAAAACAACTCTCAGACAATGTAAGAAGGACTCTTAATCTCATCATACTTGGCTGCAGCAGGAAGATCGACTCAGTACTCTAGCGTTGGATTTCACCAAGGCTTTTGATTCCGTGGAAATACCATTCGTGTTAGAGAATGGGCTTTGGTATCAATTTCTTAAATGCATTGAAGGCCATTTTACTCAAATCCCACATCAAGAACTAGAGTCAATGGATATTCTTCTTACCCCTTTCATCCCACACGAGGTACAAGACAAGGCTGCCCTCTCTCACCTCTGATATTTGCACTTGTAATAGAGCCATTGGCCGAAGAACTACGACAATGCAAGGACTTTCATGGCATATTATTGGGAGAAAATGAACACAAAGTTAATCTATAAGTGGATGATCTTACCTTGTATATCTCTAATCCAATCCATTCTCTACCATATATAAAAAGTGTTCTCTCAAAATATGGGGAAATTTCAGGCCTGCAAATCAGTCCGACCCAATCAGAGTTATATCCCATATGGATCTCATCTAATTCGAAGGCTCATTTTAAAAAAATCTCTCCCTACAAATGGATCACATAATCGTGGAGACATCTGAGTATTCAGATCTCATGGGATCTTGAGGATCTTTTCCCTCATAATTATGACAAACTATATGAAATTATCAATATGCAACTGAAAGACTGGCAAGTCCTTAACTTTTCTCTTCCAGACCGTATTCATCTGGTCAGAAGTTTTATTTTACCTAGATTTTTGTTTCTCTTTCAAACACTTCTGATCCAGGCCCTTGATAAAAAAAAACCCTTGATATTTGGCAAAGGACTCTTTTCTCGTTTTTATGGGAAGGGAAAAAATTGAGAATTAACCTAAATATTCTAACTAAACCAGCTTTTCTAGGAGTTCTTGATTTTCCTCTTCTATGTACATATTTCTATGCCAGTGTCTTAGCAAAAGTGGTGGAAATGCAACAACAAGAATCTCAACCTATTTGGTATCAGATGGAACAAAGGTATGTGGCACCTTACACCTTACAAGAAGCAAGCAGGATGATACCCTCACGCCATCCAAAAAGCTTCCGACAAAATCCGTTTTTAGTTGCAGCTATTAAGGTACGGGACCGCAAGAGAAAACTATGGATTTCAGACATTTCGCCTTTCTCCACTATAGTGAATCATCCTTGGTTCCCTCCAGCCCAGAAGAAGGAAGACTGCTTAGATTGGACTCAAGCAAGGTTTCAATGCCTGATAGACTTTGTATCCCATGGCAAAATACGAAATAAGGCTTTCTTTGAACAACAGTCGGGCACACAATTTTCTTGGCACAGCTATTTACAACTAAAAAACTTAATGGAAAATTTAGACTCTCGTGGTATTTTTGACAAACCTCATTCTGTTTTTGAAGACATCCTAGTAAAGTATGCAGAGTCCTCCAAAAGTCTATTAGCCATACTCTATAAATCTCTTTTGCTAGCTGAACACAAATCTCCTTTAAAACACCAACTTCGTTGGATAGATTTACAGACGGACTTAACTGATCTTCATTGGCAAACAATATGGAACTCTCTGATCAACTCCTCAAAGAATTTCTCTATCTTCTTACAATTTATTAAGTTAACTTTCAGGTGGTACTACACTCCAAAAAAACTCAATAAAATAAACCCAACTATTAGCCCCCTCTGCTGGAATAAATGCGGTCGTGTAGGTTCATATTTACATTGCTGGTGGAACTGTCCTACAATATACTCTTTTTGGAATGAGGTCATTAAACATATTAATGAGATTACTTCGCAAAATTTACCCATTTGTCCAAAAATGGCTCTTCTTAACCTAATGGATTCTGTCTCAGATTCAGTGGTTCATAAAGAACTTACTTCAAATCTATTAGCAGCGCCAAGACTTGCAATTGCTTCACAATGGAAAACTGCATCCCCTCCTACTATTCATCTCTGGCATGAGGAAATTTGGGATCAATTCATTTTAGCTAAACTCACGAGAGTCACACAGCCATCTTCATCTTCTTCACTTTTTATTTCCACATGGTCGCATGTTCTCCAATATATGTCAGAAAAGGACATTCTCCCATCTAAAACATCCTACCACTCATGGCTGTATTTTTAGTTATTGTATATCTTTTGAACTCTAAGACAATCTAGGAATATTGATAGAGTACGTTTTAGATCTTTAAATCCAATCACCACTCCTTGTTCAAGCTGACTAAACAATGAGCACTGTTGGTTGATTTGTTTACTAGAATTTTCTATTCATTCTTGTAAGGTTAAGTACTATGTTTACACATTACACCTTCTACAACTGATTATTTTAAATAAGTTCATACTTTCTTTGTAATAACTCATTGTACGAATGCTGTTATGTTTCTTTCATTGTTACAATTTGTTAATAAAAAACTTTTTTTAAAAAAAAAAAAGTGCCAGGCGGCTTCGTTTTCCTGTTGAGTGGTATCCACTTGGTAACAAACCTGGATTTGCTTCTTAAAAAGATACATCTTTTCAGATATGAAGAAAGGTACACTTACATAACCAAAGAGTCAAGTCAATCCATTTAAATTTAGTTTAAAACTGCACATTAAAAAGCAGTGAAGGGGAGAGATTTATAGAAAGAGAGAAGGGCGTGAGAGAAAACATTGGCTGAATCAATTTGCTGCTACTTTAAATTTATTGACATGCTTCTCAGGACATCTTTCTACTGTGTAGCCAATCATTCCGATTAGACAGTAAAGGTCAATTCATACTTTGCATTTAAATATATTCCCTTCTGTAGTGACAACCCATAACCGGTCCAGGTCATAGGACACATGTTTGGCCTTTCCAATTTTTTTGTCTACTTGTTCCCAGGTAGTTCCAATAGGATTCTCTTTGGTGATTCCTTCCCTGGAAGAAAAGGTAATAAGATAGCTGTTCATTTAGCTCTGTATGAGAATTAGCATCCTTGAGGTTAATTTGTGAAATGGGCCTAAAATACAAAAGCCAGTAGAAAAGGAAAAAAATGCTATAGATGCAAATCTGCACCCCAGTCAGGTAAATCTGATGCAGAAGCGACCGAAACATGGCTGAGTGTCTGAAGCAGCTCCTCAAGATAGGTGTTTTCAGTGGACTGAAGCCACACATTACATTGAATCGCAGATAACTTTCCTCCCTTGATTTATTTGTAAAAAATTGCAAATAACAAGGAAGAACAGGGCAAGAGAAGCGATGTAACCTTTTCCTTGCTTGTTATTTTTCTGCTCAAAATCTTTCCTCCTAGTTCCTTTTGCCCTCTCAAAGAATATTCAGTTATAAATATATCAAGTCCCCATGTCCTTGCCCTTCAATTAGATATTTTAGGTGGGAAAATGGTCTCAGGGAAAATTATTTAGCAGCATTATTTATTAATATCCTGCTCCCCTTCCCCCCGTGATGACCCTAAGAGACTTACAACATTGTTTTCCGGGCCTCCATTTTATCCTCACAATAGCAACTCTGTGAGCTAGGTTAGGCTGAAAGGGTGTGACTGGGCCAAGGTCTCTCACTGAACTTCCATGGCAGCCTAGGGATTCAAACCTGTGTCTCCCAGATCCCAGGCCAGCACTCCAGTCAGTATAACATGCTGATTCTTCCCTCCCTGATGGACCCCCTCTCAAAGTTGCAGCCACAGAAGAAGAAGGAGTTGGATTTATACCTCACCCTTCATTTGGAGTCTCACAGCGGCTTATAATCTCCTTCCCTTCCTCTCCCCACAACAGACACCATGTGAGGTAGGTGGGGCTGAGAGAGCTCTGAGAGAACTGCTTGTGAGAGAACAGCTCTGAGAGAACTGTGACTGACCCAAAGCCACCAGCTGTCTGCATGTGGAGAAGAAGTGGGGAATCAGACCCGGTTCTCCAGATTAGAGTCTGCTGCCCGTAACCACTATACCAAGCTGGCTTTCAGGAGGCTTGTTTCATTTTAAAATACCTCAGGAATGTGTATAATGTGTTGATTGGCTCTAAGGTGGTCATGTTTGAGATTGAAACCCAACCCAATGACCCGTCCAGGGTGATTTGTACTCAAATAACACTTAAGTCACAGGTGTTGGGTCACTAAGGAACTGAAATCCCTCCAGAGTCATCTCATTGCTTTAGTATTCATTACTCTGGTTCAAGACATGCTACAGCCTCTTGTAAAAGGCACTACACTTTCAAAGAACAGAGACTCTTCCGGCCACAGTCCTCTTAGTGGTACCTGCGATAAATGTCTCCAGCGCTGTTTACTCCATACACATCTCCTTCTGTCCCAACTTCAATCATGGAAAGCGCACCAGGCACATTCTGCCACCTGGAGTCAGTGCAGGAATCTGGGGTGACACCATGCCGGTAATAGATGGTATCAGCTGAGTTAACTCCCCAACAACCCAGTGGCCCACAGGAGTAGTATTTGAACTTTCCTTCAATGTGGATCCAGGACAGTGATGAGTTGTCATCAGCAGTGATGGCTGACGACTTGGGTAGGCAACAGATTTCATCGTTCATGTTGACTCCAACTACAAACTGGCTTCCCCCTGCATCTATCTGTTTGAGCGAACCTGAAAAGTAGCAGAAAGATCTAGGATTTTAGGAAGTCTTATACCAAAATGTTTAAATCAAGGTTTGTTCACACAGAAAAAATTCAGTTGTTTCAGACAATTTCAAATAAGCCCTGAGTGGGTTCATCAAGTGCCAAGGCAACCACATTACTGGAGGCTATGGGAGCACATAAAATGAATTGGATTTGGATTAATTGTACAACCAGAAACGCTGGAGCATGTTCAGTAAGCACTATGGCTTTTGATCATGTAGTGCTGGAATTGCACATGTTAGAAACCTGGTAATGTATGAGGATAAGCAAAGCTAACCCTTTCACAAATAGGTTTTAGGGGTGCACACCATAGAGCTCTGCAATAAGTATTGTTTTACAATAAAGTATTAAGGAAACAGCACTTCTTGAATGTTTGCTGAGTGCAGAGCTTCAGATCTTGAATTAAGTCAGGTTCCTCCATAAACATTCAATTGGTATGTCTCTCTGAGAGCCTGTCCTGGGTGAGAGATGGAAGACAAACCAAAGCAGCTTCTTTATCCCCCTTTCAGCCCTTTTCAAACCCTCTACTCCAGTGGCCTTTATTGCCAACTTCAGAGGTCTGTTTTTTCTCTTGGTTGCCCCCACCCAACAGCCTTTTCTTTATATCATTACGGGACTCAACCAACTTACAAATGCCAGTTAAAATGGGTTGACTATAGACATGGGGTGAGAACAAAATTTCAGAAGCAAAGGTGCTTACAAAGAAAGCCACCTTTTTACTAAAAAATTTAAAAGCCTCTATTAAATATAGTACACTACAAAATTTAGTTATTATAAGTTATACATAAAAACATGATAGTGTTCAAACTTGTGACAAGAAACAATGTATCCAGCTAAACATGCCTAGACTGTTCCTTAATCCTGGCAAATTCTAAGACAAAACAATGTCTTTTAGCTCAACATGGTTTCTTTTCTGAGCAACCAAATTCTCCAGCAAAGATTTTTAGGATGTTCTGACATCCTTATTTCAGTTCTTGGTCTCTGGGTCCTCTTATTTAGTATTCCCTCCCAGGAAGGATATCCCTATATTTCAGTTTTCAACCACTTTGTTTTTAAGTTTCATTTCTCCTCAAGAGACCCTGTCTTTTGTTTTCTGTTCCCTAGGCTTAACTTACGAATTCTCTGCCTGAAACTGAAATTTTTCCCCAGTGGCAGCCATTTTAAACATGACAAGAACCATACACAAAATGGTGGAAACATTTCCATTCCTTCACAGAGTGCCTGGCTAAAAGGAAAATGACCCAGAAGGGATCCTGAATGTGTAGAAGAGGGGCTTCTTCAGGTGTGTAAGCCCTGCTGCTGTGAAACACAGGACCTTCTAGCTGACAATGTGGGACAGTTCACACAACTGCTTGAACTTCAGCTACATCATCAATGTAACAATATCCAAGGACCAGGGTGTGGATAATTTAAGTAACTAAAGCACCGTGTATAATACTATATAGTATGTTTATGCGATATCATTACAATAAAGAATATTTAGACTTCAAAAATTTAAGGATTTGTGTTTACATACAAACCATCTTAAATTTTTGAAGTCTAAATATTCTTTATTGTCTCATATCTCATAAACATACTATATAATATACACGGTGCTTTAGTTACTTAGTTTACATCATCAATGTATGCTGGAAGGAAGATAATGGTTGTATTTCTCCTTTGGTACACCAGAATTGCCATGAGACACCAACAGGGCAAGAACAATGAGCCAAACAAGGCAGTCTAGCCATGTCTCTGCCTTGTTGAGGTCTCATATGATCAAAATGGATTGCGCACAAAGTAAGGCTAGGTGGTTCCGCTGATCTCCCCTTAGCCAAAGGACCTCCAAAACATGGAGCTTCAAATGATTTCCAAGCTGAGAACTATTCCTGTCACCACTAAAGTGAGATTGAGGTGATGAGAGAGGAGGTCCTAAAACTGATAGACAACTCAAAAACTGATAAATCACCAGGCCCAGATGGCATACATGCGAGAGTTCTGAAAGAACTCAAATGTGAACTTGTGGATCTCCTAACAAAAATATGTAATCTTTCCTTAAAATCAGCCTCCATTCCTGAGGACTGGAAGGTAGCAAATGTCACTCCCATCTTTAAAAAGGGTTCCAGAGGAGATCCGGGAAATTACAGGCCAGTCAGTCTGACGTCGATACCGGGTAAATTGGTGGAAACCATTATTAAGGAAAGAATTAGTAGGCACATAGATGAACAAAACCTATTGAGGCAGACTCAACATGGGTTCTGTAAGGGAAGATCTTGTCTCACTAACCTGTTAATGTTCTTTGAGGGGGTGAACAAACATGTGGACAAGGGGGATCCAATAGATATTGTTTACCTTGACTTCCAGAAAGCTTTTGATAAAGTTCCTCATCAAAGGCTCCTAAGTAAGCTCAAAAATCATGGGATAAAAGGACAAGTCCTTTTATGGATCAAAAACTGGCTAATTAATAGAAAACAGAGAGTGAGTATAAATGGGCAGTTCTCTCAGTGGAGGGGGGTAAGCAGTGGGGTACCGCAGGGATCAGTACTTGGTCCACTGCTTTTTAACTTGTTCATTAATGATTTGGAGTTGGGAGTAAGCAGTGAAGTGGCTAAATTTGCGGATGATACGAAGTTGTTCAGGGTGGTGAAAACCAGTGAGGATTGTGAGGCACTCCAAAGGGATCTGTCAAAGATGGGCGAGTGGGCGTCAACATGGCAAATGGGGTTCAATGTGGCCAAGTGCAAGGTGATGCACATTGGAGCCAAAAATCCTAAATATAAATACACGTTGATGGGGTCTGAACTGGCAGAGACTGATCAAGAGAGAGATCTTGGAGTTGTAGTAGATAACTCACTGAAAATGTCGAGACAGTGTGTGACTGCAATAAAGAAGGCCAATGCTATGCTGGGGATTATTAGGAAGGGTATTGTAAACAGATCAGCCAATATCATAATGCCTCTATATAAATCAATGGTGCGACCTCATTTGGAATACTGTGTGCAATTCTGGTCACCACACCTTAAAAAGGATATTATAGCTTTGGAAAAAGTGCAGAAAAGGGCAACTCGAATGATAAAAGGGTTGGAACACTTTCCTTATGAGGAAAGGTTAAGGCGCTTAGGTCTCTTTAGCTTGGAGAAACGACGACTGAGGGGTGGCATAATTGAGGTTTATAAGATTATGCATGGGAAAGAGCAGGTAGAGAAAGAGATACTTTTCTCCCTTTCTCACAATACAAGAACTCGTGGGCACTCCATGAAATTGCTGAGCGGTCAGGTAAGAACGGATAAAAGGAAGTACTTCTTTACCCAAAGAGTGATTAACACTTGGAATTCACTGCCACAGGAAGTGGTGGCGGCTACAAGCATGGACGGCTTCAAAAGGGAATTAGATAAGCATATGGAGCAGAGGTCCATCAGTGGCTATTAGCCACAAGGTGTAGATAGGGACTCTGGGGCAAGTGATTCTCTGTCATCTTGGTGCTTGGGGGGTCAACAGTGGGAGGGCTTCTAATATCCTGGCCCCACTGGTGGACCTCCTGATGGCACTGGTATTTCTGGCCACTGTGTGATACAGAGTGTTGGACTGGATGGGCCTTTGGCCTGATCCAACATTGGCATCTCTTATGTTCTTATGTTCTAAAGTCCTTTTGGGGATAAAACATATAGTGAAAAATGCTAATAAATATTCCTTTTTGTGCATGCCTTTCAGCATTTTCCCCTTTCTTGTGCATCCATACAACCATGGATCAGCTGTCTTACAATACCTGTAATCAGGATCCAGTTGCCCCCCACAAGCCTGTAGACGTTATGATATGAGTCCACCCCCCAGACTCCAGAAGGACCGGTTGTGACATGGGTCAGTGCCCCTGGTAACTGGATCCATGGGTTTCCATATACACTGTACAAGGTGTAAATGTAGCCTTCACTGTTCACACCAAAGATCTGTCCGTTGCTGGCATCAATCTGTGTCAGTGCTCCAGGCACCTCTTCACAATCTGAAACTAGAGCAAAAAAGTGTCATATGCTCATCAGCAAATGTAGTTCTATCACAAATGCAGGTAAGCCACCCTGAGCCTGCCTTGGTGGGGAGGGTGGGGTTTGAATTGAATAAATAAATAAATGAGGACAAAGACTGGATTGAGAAGGGTAGAATAAAGCAGATATCCCCACTCCTGTGAGCAACCAACACTCATGCAGGTCTCAGTCTTGAACAAGAAAGTTATCCCATTCATTTGGGTGTGAATGGCCTTGCAGTCTGATAAGGGGCATTGTATGATAAGAAGTCTCCTGGTGGTCTCCTGCTTGTGGTATGGAATGAATGATGAATAATATGCTATGGCTTTCCTAGGCATCAGCATAGCTCCATACATCCAGCACCCCAGTGGTGTGTTCCTTCTGAACTGGCCTGGCTAAAAATAAAGCTTAAGCAAAAGCCCACCTGGCATTGGGTTTAAGATTATGTTTGGTGGCCTCCACATGTGTTTCTCTGAATCCTCCTTCCTTGTCCCTTGTCTCTCCTTGGTTGTTGCTCTGTTTTTCTCTACTTGCAACATCCACAGCCCTGACTTCTGCTCTTACAGCCCACCCACCACTTTGTATTAGTTGCCCTGATAGGACCTGCTGATTTAGTTCTAGAGCCTGGCTTGTAACCGAGGTCCTGAAAGGGTTGCCAATCTCCAGGTGGTGGCTGGAGAGCTGGGATTACAACTGATCTCCAGGCAATTGAGCATTTTTGTAAAAAGGGGGACATGCCCTGCATTACCCCCCAAAAAATCAATGCCCAGGCCAAACCCCTGTGCCAAGAAATCCAAAATAAGGGGAGTGCATTCCTACCATGACGTCAACCCCCACTATGAAGAGATTTTACCCCTAAGGGGGTAAAAAAAGGGCAAAATGTGTTCCCCTAATTGTTTTCCATGTTCCTGGCAGGCTGCTGCCTCCTTCCCCCCCCCCCCCATTGGTCAACTTATGTAGCTCAGAGTTCTGAGGTAAAACCTGCTTGCTTGCACCACCACCCTCTAATTGCTCAACTGTGAATCTCAATGTTCTGAGGTAAAAACACAGTTAAAAGAGACTGCAGACAGTTGAGGACAGTTACAGAAATCAACAATTTAAGACTCCTGAATAGACATTTCTCATAGCAGCCAGCATGCCAGTAGTGGCAACGGGAACTTGAGGTGATGAAGTGAATGCATGTATCAAGGCATCGTACTTGTGGCCACTCATCTCTCACTAAGGACGAACATGAGGGTCCACCTGAGAGGCGATGTGTCTTCTGGGGAATTCTCTGAACTCCTATTGAAAATAGGGGATGGAGAGCATCCCTTCATGGCTGGCCTCAGTAGTGAGGACCCTACCAGAACTAAAAGCTAGGATCTGCCCTGATATTGCCAGTATCACAGAGAAGTCCATGGACAGCCTGTGCAAGCGTGTCATTCTGACCCCCAAGAACGACAGGGCTACCATCGTTAATAAAACTCTACTTAACTCCTTCGAGGGGGCAGAAATGGAGTATAGATCTGTGGACTCAGTGGTGCAAATGGATGACATGGTCCACTACCTTGTAGAGTTCCTCAGCACCCACAACCCTCCTGGCTTCCCAGCCCACAAGCTTCTCCTCAAAGTGGGGGCTCAAGTGATGCTGCTGCGGAACCTCAGCCCACCAAAATTCTGCAGTGGCACCAGACCAAGTGAAGGCCCTGCAGAGGAACATCACTGAGGCCGCAATGCTTGGGGTAAGTCGGTGTTCATACCACGCAAACCACTCATACCATCAGAAAACCCCTTCCAATTCAAGAGGCTGCAGTTCCCCCTCAAGGAAGGTCTGCTTTGCTCTGACCATCAACAAGTCCTGAGGCCAAACACTGAAGGTGGCAGGAATTGACTTAACAGACGACTGCTTCTCTCTTTTTTAAAATAAATTTTATTTTATTAATTTTTCATACTCATATACAATAATAGTTTTACAACCAACAATACATAAACATACATATAACTCTCAACTACAATAATCATTTAAACTCTAACCCAAATGAATAAAAAAATAATTGGTCTTAATAAGACATTACTTCTTGGTACTTATTTGGTAGGATAAATTGAACCTTCTGATTTGAAGTAACATAATAAAAAAATATAAAACACTTTTCAATAAAATTGTTATCTTTTAACATTCCATATGCCACTTTAAGCTGTGTTGCAATGTTGTCTGTTATTATAACATCCCAGAGCTTAACATACCAATGATAAATGTTTGGAGTTGTTCGTTTATTCCATTTTTGAGCTAGTATCGATTTGGCTGCATATAACATCAACGTTAACATTCCAATTTATAGTTTTGAGATTTTTAAATCCGGCCAAAAATTTAATAAAATAGATTCCATGGTATTCTTAAGCTTAATTTTGGTAATCTTAAAGATTTCATTTATAATTTTATTCCAAAACTTAATGACCTTTCGACAAGACCACCAGCAGTGGCTAAAATTTATCATAATTAATTTTAAAACCTGAAATTTTTGAAAATTTATTATAAGACTTAATAAATGTTTTATTGAAAGAGCTGGATCTTTTATTGAAAGAGCTGGATCTTTTAAGTAAAATATGGCATCATCAGCAAAAAGACTTATTTTACATTGCTCATTGCCGATATTAATACTTTTGATATCGGTATCCATCCTTACTGTGTAAGCCAACGGTTCTAATGATAAGGCGAACAAAATTGGGGATAAAGGACCTCCCTGTCTGGTTCCTCTTGCAAGTTGTATAGGTTCTGTAAAATAGTCATTAATTGATATATATGCTTTTGGGTTTGTATAAATTGCTCTAATAGCGTTAAGAAATGAATTTCCAAAGTTCATATAGTTCAATAAGTTTAACAAATAAGTAGGTTCAACTCGGTCAAACGCATTTTCAGCGTCAACCGATAAAATCGCTGAATTTATAGAATGTGTCTTACAGTAGTTTATAATATTCAATGTTTTCCTTATATTATCAGTTATATTTCTCTTGGGCATAAAACCTGCTTGGTCTTTATGGATATATTGAGTTATTATATGATTTAATCTGTTTGCCATTATAGTTGAAAATAATTTGAAATCATGGTTTAAAATCGAGATTGGTCTATAAGAGGAGGGTTGTAGTTTATCTTTACCTGGTTTAGGAATAACAATGACTCTTGCCTCTGCCCATGTCTCTGGCATTTTACCTGTTTGCAAAATTTCATTCATATTTGTTATCAGATACTGGTCTAGTTCTGATCTAATTTTTTTATAAAATTCTATAGGTAAACCATCAATACCTGGTGTTTTATTGTTTTTCATTTTATTTAAAGCTGTTGTAATTTCTTGGGAAGATATTTGTTGGTCAAGATACTGTTTATGTTCAAGTGAAATTATATTTTGATATTTAATGTCTAATAAAAAGTTTCTTATGGTTTCTTCCTTAGGTGATGTAGATGAATATAAATGTTTATTAAAAAAATTAAAAACATTAGAAATTTTGTCTGTAGTTGAATGAGAGTTTCCTTTATCATCTTTTATTGTTCCAATTAAGTTTGCTGTATATTTCTGCATTGTCCTATACTTTAACAATTTAATGGATTTTGGCTTCTTTACCACATATTTTTGTTTTAAAAACATCAATTGTTTTTGAATTTTAGAGGTTTCTAATAACTCTATTTTTTTCCGTTCCAAATTTAATTTTTTTAGATTCTTTTCCCCACCAAATTTTATATGTTTTGCTTCTAAAGTTTTAATATTTTCCATAATATTATTTATAATTTGAGTTCTCTTCTTTTTCAAAGAGGATGATAACGCTATCAAACGGCCTCTTAATACCGCCTTAAATGCATCCCATATATTACTATTTGAGGCTCCACAATTTGAATTATAATAAAAGTATTCTTGAATGTATTTTTTAATTAGGGTGCAGTTGTCTTCATTCTGTAATAAAAGCATATTTAACATCCATTTCATGGGTCTTGGTTGTTTATTTTTATTCTGTATATTACAACTTACCCATGCATGATCAGAAATAGTGCATGTTCCAATTTCTGCTGAACTAATCTGATTAAGAAGGGATTTAGAAGCAATTAAATAGTCAATTCTTGAATACGTTCCATGTCTATGAAAATAAAAAGTAAATTGTTTTTTTTCTGGCTTACAAGATCTCCATATATCACATAGGCTATAAAAATCAAGAATTTTAATAAATTTGGATTGCAAAGTTTTAGATTGTCTTTGATTTGTTTTTTTATTGGTCTTTTTATCCCATTTCTGATTACTAATTATATTCAAATCTCCTCCTAATAAAAATTCTCCATGTTTAAATTCCATTAATGTTTGTAGTGTCTTTTGCAAAAAGGTTAATTGGTTGTCATTTGGAGCATATACTGAAGCAATAGTCACGGGTTCATTTTCTAATAAGCCTTTTATAAAAATATAGCGTCCTCTGGGGATGTTTGGTGACATTGAAACAGTATGTCTCTAGATATTAAAATTGCTGTGCCCCTTGATTTAGAATTTCCTGGAGCAATGTACTGTTGACTAAACCATTTGTTTTTAAATATTGACCCATCGATGTTTTTTAAATGAGTTTCCTGGATACACAATACATTAATATGTTTCTTAGCCCAAAAATTAACTGCCTTCTTCATTTGATTTTGTTATTCAATCCACCTGCGTTCCATGTAGCTAAAGTACATTCAAAGACCATATACCAATAAAATTTTAAAATATATATTAAAAGGGTTAGTTCAAAACAACAACACCCCCAAACTAATATTCAAACCCAAAACTTCCCCCCTCCCCCTCTAACACCCCAACCTTAATACCTCAACCCTTGAAACACAAGGCTTATCTCTAGGAGGACAGGAAATTTACCTGTCCTAAGGGGCAGTAATTTTACTTACTCCTGCTAGAAAGTCCCTAACTTGTGGGGGGTTGTATAATTTATAACCAAAATAGATTTAATTATGCCACTCCCTACGGCCCCGCCGATTTAATACTATAGGCAAAACCATAACCATTAAACTTAATTTTATTATAATTATTTTTCTGTGTTCAGACGTAATTCAAACCAGATTAAAACATACTTTTCAAATATAAAATTAGGTATAATATAGTAACAGAACAATAATTTTAAGTTTTCAGGGTTAGTAGATTAGTATATTACTTCATATACTTCATATTTAAATTTTAAATGCTAATTCAAACATATATTTCTTCAGATTCCGAAAAACACCAAAATTGCTAATATCATCCAAAGTATATTACTTCATATACAACCAATATTCAAAAGTATATTACTTCATATACTAAATACTTTTATCATAAATTCGAATACTACGTTCAGATAAATAAACCGATTTCTTATAGATGATTCAACCAATTATATATATCAATACCAAATCAAAAATAAGTTAATACATAAACTTAAAGATATAATATTGTATAAAAATAAATATATAATATGACTATATAGTAATAAAATTATACACAAACATGCATTTAAATATTACATAATAACAAAGAGAAATAAAGTTTACTTTAGTATATCCCTTCATATACTATGTTCCAATAAAAAATAAATTAAATATATAGACCTATATGAGTTCGGGTATCACAGACATTAGTTCCAATATAGTTACACAAAAGGTTTAAATAATAATCCAAGGTTCGTTTATAAAATTCAACAAGTTTTAAGTTTAAATGCACACTCAAGCATATATTACTTCATAAACGTAAAGACTTATTGTTAAATAATAAAAAATATATAGTACATACATATAAAAATAAAATTAAAATTAAAAAAATATACATCTATGATAACATAGAACCAAAAAACAATACTGTTTATACTAGTATATTACTTCATATACCATATTCCAATATAAAAATAATTTAAATATAGAAACCTATATGAAATTAGGTATCTCAGACAATAGTTCTGACGCAGTTACAAAAAAGTTACTCTTCGCTCTTACTTACAGTTGCAATAGCCTTGATAGATGTAAAAAAACCCCAGTGTTTGAGTATTATTTAAGGGTTCATAAGCTTTTGTTCTTCTTCCTCAGTAAGGGTAATTTTTAGAGTTTGTAGAAGTTTAAGACCAGAGGCTGCATCAGTTGCTTGTAGCAGGGTTCCGTTTCTATAAACCTGTATATCAGAAGCGGCGCTCCATCTGAATTTAATGTGTGCTCCAAAGAGCTTAGCTGCAAGGATTTTCAGGCTTCTTCTTTTTTCAAGTGCCT